GTGTCTCCGTATCACTGCGTCTGTGTCTGTGTGCCATCGTCACCGCCCTGCCGTCACCTTCCCTCCTTCCCCCCCCTTCCTCCCTTCCTCCTCCTCCCTCACAATCACTCACCAAGCAGCTCACCACCCCGCCCCAACCAACGCCCATTTCTCCACGTGCCACACGAAGACACCAGGTCATGGAATCCACCACGTCCCTGTCCTGCTGGACGCAGGTTGCGCAGTACTTGGTGTCGTCCTTCTCCCCCACCTCCGCCGCCACTTTCGACTATGATCTGAGGGATGTGCCTTACTCGATGCATATGGTGCTCCCAAACTTGAGCCGGCGTGGCAACACCCGCGCCTTCTTCAACCTGATGCTGACGTGTCGACAGCTGTACCACGACTTGCCGTGGGCCGTGCCAAAGTGGTGCCTCGTCGACATGCTTGAAGTCCAAGCAAGTGCAGGGACGTGGCACTGGCTCGACACATTCCGCAAAGGAGGAGTGCCCTCCCTGCCCTTGCCTTGCTCGCGCGGCGATGCTGACGCTGCTGATGGCTCCGCGCAGTCGACGTGGCTGGAGGGGCGCTTCCTGGCATACTGCTGGCTCGGTGTGACTTGGGACAGCGAGTGCCCTTTTCTCCTGAAAAAGATGGCTTCGCCTCCAACCACATCACACTTCTGGCACAAGTTTGCTCGCTGCGGCCGCTTGTACTTTGATGGCCTGGACAAGGTGGAGGAATGGGCTGCCCGCACCCTAGAACTAGAACAACCGGGCGACGACGCGCATGGATGGCTCGGCAAAGACACCAAGGATTGCGTCGCGCCTCGTCCAGAGGTCGATGCAGACACGGCAAGGTCGGTCGCGGCAACGCACGACCCTCTCGAACAACAACAACAGCAGCAACAACAACAACAACAACAACAACAACAACAACAACAACAACAACAACAACAACAACAACAGCACCAGCACCACCAGCACCAGCACCACCAGCAGCAACCCTGTCGTCCGGCACTTTTCACAATGCATGCGGATATAAAGGGTCAGCGTGGTGCAGATCGCTTTGATCGAGTGCGTACGACGCTCCTGGCTGGGGTGCGCGGTGGCAAGGTGGTGTTGCAGTTTCAGCAATACGGACCACCCTTGCGAGAGCGGCATGTGGTGTCGCTCGTGGCATTGAATATCGACAGGCTGAATATCAACGCCACTGACGACACAGTGATCAACAAGCTGTCGCTTCGTAACGTGCGCCACATGCAGCTGGTGTCAAGAGTGAAGCCCCGTACCGTCACCAGTGACTGGCAGAGTGTACAAAGCTTCGAGTTGCATCGCATTGCGAGCACGTGTGACGTCAGCTCCCTCGTGGGCATCCCATGTGTGGACGTGTCACTGTTAAGCAACAGCTTGACAGCTTCTCCTCCTGACCCCATCAACAGCTCTGTCAATGCCATGATCGAGGCTGCAACGGACGGCGTGAAGCTCGCTTTCCTGTCCTTGTTAGCCGACATCACCATCCAAGCGAGGCGCGTTCGCCTCGACCACATGCAGAGCGTTCCAGACCAGCTGCACCTGCCAAATACCACGTACATTGAGCTGCTGGCTCGCTCCGGTGTGAAGCAGTTCACGTGTCCTGCTCGACTACAGCGCCTGGTGATCGACGAAGTCATGGGCAGCCCCCCTGCCATCCCAGACTTTGAGCACGCCGCAGAGGTGCGGCTCAACCTGCGCCACGCGCTCACGCGGGACCAGCTCTCCTCCCTTGGCCGTCGCGTCGCCATGCTCGTGCTTGCTGGCAACACTGTGTCGAGCATGCAGCACGTGGCAGCCATCCCACGCTCCGTGTACGTGTGCTTGGAGGATGTCCACGTTGAGGGAATGGTGCCACCGTGTGTGCGGGAGCTGAGGGCACGCATGCGGGGTGACATGTCCGCCAGCGCTGTGGCCTCCGTGCCACGTCTGCACGTGATTGGACAAGCCGGGGTGAGAGGACCCGTGCCGTGCATGCATGACTGCCACCTGCTCTCGGAGAGAAAAGGGGGCGCGACCTGCCTCGAGCACCTGGCTATTGACGGGGAAATCAGCAATTGCGACCACCTTGCGCTCCGCCGCTGTCGTGGATCCGTTGCCGTTGCATCAATCGGTTCATTCGCTGCCATCGCAGCGTGCGTGGGGGTGGACATGACGGCCGGGACAGGGGATGAATGCGTAACGAGGACAGACGAGGAGAAGAAGAGGCAGGAGCAGAAGCGGCTTCTCTACTTGACGCGCGTGCGGGACGTTGCTAGCTGCGAGCTTATCGACTGCACGATCCGCGACTTTTCTCGTTTCCGGGGCGTGCAGCGGCTTGTTCTGGATGAGTGTAGGTTCGACAGCCTCGACAATCTCCCGCCAATCCCTTGTCTCGTCGTGCGTGCATGCAACACCAGCGACTACATCCGATGGCCAGACGCGGTCTTTGTCCAGCGAACAGTTGACGACATACGACGGCGGCTCGGTGGTTAGGGAGTTTGTGCCTGTGTGCGTGTGTGTGTGTGTGTTTGTGTGTGTGCGTGCTAGTTTGTGTGCGTGTATGTGTGGAATGAGTGTGTGTGTGTGCGCGCTCTTCGGGCCTCTCCTTTCTCAGCACCCGCCTTATTCCAAGGCAAGTCCAAGTAGGAACAAAAGGCCAGAGCGACACAAGTTGCCAACTGTCATACTCTTTGCTCAAGCCGGTTGTTGTTGCTGCGTTCATGTGTATCAATCAATCACACCAAGAAGAGAACTAGGCAGCAGGCCGACAACTCGCTTTGCAGCAGTAGAAACAGCAACACAGGGATACAAGGAACACACGGCGCAATACAGTCGAAGAACTCAGGACGCAACATCATGCAACGGTGCTCGCTCGGGTTACTTGCCATGGCACTTCTTGTACTTGCGCCCGCTGCCACACGGGCAAGGGTCGTTCCGACCAATCCTCTGAGGTTTCGTAGCGTGCAATCATGACAGCGCACAAGGCAAACGCAAACGAGAGTGAGTTGCCATATCTTCACAAACGGCGCCACCACCTCCTCCCCGCTTCCCTCTAACCCCCTCGCTTCCTCTTGCACACCTTGGCTGCCGGCGCTTTGGCTGACGACGACGACGACGACGACGACTTGCGGGCAGTGCCATTTCCACCAGCTTTCTTCTGTTGCTTCTGCTGCTGCGGCTGTTGCTTCGTCTTGGGCCGTGGCTCACCCGTTCCCCGCTGCTGCTGCTGCTTCTGCTTCTGTTGCTGCTGCTGCTGCTGCTCTACTAGCGTGGTGTCTTTGTCCTTCTCCTTCTCCTCCTTCGTAGGCGAGGCTTCGCTCTCCCTTGTGTCATTGGTGGTTTGCGTCTTCTGTTGTGTTGGTTCTGCCTGTGTTGGTGTCTCTGCTGTTGCACCGACATCATCAACTTTGCCTGCCTCATCACCATCGTTATCATCATCAGCGTCGCTTGCTTCACCTGTCCTCTGCGTTGCAGCATCGGCGGGTGGCGGAGGTGGGCTGTCGCCATACTTGTCTTTGAAGCACCTGCATTTCCGCACAGGGTGAGACAGCGTGCGTGTTTGTGCGAGCGTGTGCGTGCGTGAGTAAGCCTGACAGGCTGGCTGTGCACACTGTCGTGCGTGTTGGTACAGCCGAGTGCTGCGAGTACGCATTGAATCAGAGCACATGGCCATGTGAGTGCATGTATTTCTTCCAGGCCCGAGTGAACGCACTTTGAGCAGTAGCCGTGCGTTGCCGGCGAGCCAAAGAATCCACACCCCGCAACACACATACCCTTGCACGCACACGTGATGAGGGTAGGCATCAACGTGGAATGAGTACGTGCGAGGGCCGAAATAACGCATGAGACAAACCCCCAACGGTAACACGGACGACAAATGCCACTCATTGACACAACACAGCACATTTCAGCGTTACATTTGGAAACTGAGACCACTCACAGCTGGCGGTGCAGCTGGTGACGACGTTGTTGTGCTCTGCAAGGCCAGTGGAATGGCGAAAGAATAAGTAAGTGAAGCCAATCTCTCTCTCTCTCTCACTCACAATCACACGCAATCACAAATACGCACGCACGTACACACCACAAGCAACTCTAGGGCACCTTTTCAAACTGAAGGAGGGGCAATCGCAAGGGCAGGTTGGGGTGGCGGCGCTTGTAGAACAACTGATGCAATGGGGATGATGGTTACGAGTGCACAAGGTCATGAGAAACAAGTCACAGTGAAGACAAAGACAGACGGACAGATAAACAGACAGACAGATAAACAGACAAACGAAACTGACAGCCATCCCCAACGCACACCAACCATGTATGGGTTGACATTTGGAATGACGTTGCGTTCAACCTCCTGCACTTTGCTGTCGTCGTACAGGCGCCTGGCAGTCAGAAACAACACAGCATCAGCAGTTGGTAGCGGCATATGGTGATACAGATGAAGAGAATATGCGATGGAAAAATTGTGTTGATACAGCAAGTGGAACACACACACGCACACACACGCACACACACACACACACGCACACACACACACACCAGACGCCGTCGCTGCCTTTGATGAGGGCGACGTAATGGCCAAAGGAAGTGAGGTTGTACATGTCCAAATGAATGAGAATGGCATAGAGATCATACTCCAGTCCATCTGTGTCACGCGTCCCAGGCGTCATAAAGTTCTGGTGGAGGCATAGCCGACAGCAATCGGTTGCATGCATGCGTGAGCATGGGGTGATAAGGGAGGGGGTGTAAATGGGGCACGCAAGCAAGCAAGCACATACACACTCACACACACACACACACACACACACACACACACACACACACGACACACACCACACACACACGCGAGTTTTGGCGATCCAACCATCACAGTGCCCGTCTTGTCAAGCACGGCCTGTGAGGAGGCAGAATTGTGAGTGTGTGAGAGAGCGTGTGTGTAT